TTTATTCTTCTTTGAAAGCTCATGATACCATCTACATGTTTTGTTAGGGTGTGTCTAGACTATAGGGTTTTAAAAAAAAATAGGTTTTTTTTTTTCGAAAAAAACTTCCCCTGTGTCTAGGCGGCTGCCGCGTTCTTTCAAAATTAAATTGAAAGAATGTGGCGGTTTTTTTCGACCATGGAAAACCTCATTTTATGAGGAAGAACGCCTTTTTTCGAAAGTGCTCTTTTGAAAAAAGGTGTTGAATGAAAACAGTGCTTTTTCAAAAGAGAGCATCCAGACTGCCAGAGTGCTCTCTTTTGAAAAAGCGGCTCACTCTCTTTCGAAAAGGGCTTGTAGACTAGATGTAGCCTTAGTCTGTAACAGGAAAAAATTGAAAAAACAACAACTAGTCTGGTAGCACTTTATAGACTAACTCAGTTACCCCTCTGAAGCTTTGTTCTTCTGATGAGACAAGGCAGAGAATCCAGTTACACACGAGAATCTAGTTTCACGCATATTTGCACTAAAAGGCAACATGACTCTAAGCACATGGCAAGCAAGAGGAAGATTTTTTCCAGGAGCACTGCAGTAAAAATTGGTAAGGTTCATTTCAGTGTATTTTTTCTGTGGAGTGTGTTTGCAGGACAACTCGACCAGCTGAGAGTCTTGTTCCACAGTTTAGACTCGTGCTTTCCAACACAACTCCAAATGAACCCTGTAGCCATTCTTCGCCCTTCAGTTGCTTGTCTGGAAAACAATCTCATGTTCTCCCAGATATGCACGTGGAGCAAGCCATGTACCATTACTGAAGTGCTCTACCAGGTGAAACTTTTTTTTTCTTCAAGAAAAGCTGCCAACTCACTTTTAAGTTTGCACACATGACATAACGCTTTACCACAGGACAGCCCACGAACCTCAGCATGGTAACGCAGATGTACATGCGCACTGCCCGTTTTCTGACAGAAATCTTGCCAGCCTCATGAATTCTTGTCCTTTTGTTTGATGTAATTCACCATTTTGACATCTTTAAGAGGCCACTGATGCTCAGGTACTACGTTTTTCCTGCATAGGGAGGCATGAGCAGCTTAACAGTGGTGCCACATTGTAATGAATGCTTTTAAATGGCTTCTTGGAACAGCTCCTGAATGTTCCCCTGTCATTGAAGCATCAGTTGTAACCAGCTCAATCCCATTGACTCTAAGGCTGTGTCCAGACTCAGGGTTTTTTTCGAAAAAAGTAGCCTTTTTTCGAAAAAACCTCACCTGTGTCCAGACTCAAGCCATGTTCTTTCGAAATTAAATCGAAAGAACGCGGCTTTTCTTTCGATAGGCTGTGTCCAGACTCAGGGGTTTTTTCGGGAAAAGTAGCCTTTTTCCGAAAAAACTTCCCCTGCGTCCAGACTCAAGCCGCGTTCTTTCGAAATTATTTCGAAAGAACGCGGCTTTTCTTTCGATGGCGGTAAACCTCATTTCACGAGGAAGAACGCCTTCTTTCGAAAGTTCCTCTTTCGAAAGAAGGCGTTCTTCAATGTAAATAGGGATTCTTCGAAAGAGAGCATCCAGACTCACTGGATGCTTTCTTTCGAAAAAGCAAACCGCTTTTTCGAAAGTTCAACGTGCAGTCTAGACGCTCTCTTTCGAAAGAGGCTTGCAGTCTACACATAGCCTAAGTAATTACTTAGTGGAACAAATATATCACCAGCTGTAGTAGAAGCAGGCAAATGCACACTACATAAGTACTGTTCTTGGAAATCACTTTCCCATACATGCCTTACATAAACCACCAAGATAGGACAGCCTGACACATTTGTGGCTTCATTTAATTGTAAAATAAAACAGTTGCTTACTGAAAGATGATCCATTGTTTGCAGTTTGATATCTTCTTAGATATTGCAAATTCTTCTCTGTATTGCATCATTGGAGAGAAGGATTGTTTTAAGTTTTTTGCAGTTGACTCACCCGACGATTAAATGCAGAAAGTAAAATTGTTTTTATGACATTTCCAAATCTTTTTTTTGTTTAAACCAATCAAGGGGCTTGTCTTTATAGACGGAGTGCTTTGTCTCCAAATGCCTATATAACTTTGATGGTTTTAGGCCTTCATATGGTAGCAGTTCATTGAAGGTGACACACTGCAGTCTGTGTTCCCCATTTCAGTCTTCAGGAAATGAAAATCCAAACTGGAAATAAGCAGAGTCGTACCTAAGACTAGTTTTCTTCTCAGGTTGTAATGAATTTGTTTTCAGTTGCAACAGGACAGTTTCAAAATGCATCCAATTCACCAACTGAAGATTCACTGTGTGATTAATAGGTAAGCTCTTCAATGGAAGTTTTACAGAACATGCTTCCCCCAAAGCTCTTCACACTTTGCATTCAACTGGCTAATCAGTAACATTATGAGTGTGTCACAGAGGTCATGGAGTCCATGTTTTGACGTGACCTCTGTTTCTTCAGGCCAGGGCATTGGGACTTTGGCTTCAGCCCTGGATGGCGAGGCTCAGATGGCCATGACGAGACTCAGATGGCCATGACACTTTCACACTGAGATCATGACCAAGGGTTGAAATCTTTTGCCTTCACTTTTGCACATTCTTATGGTCAGATTCTGGAATTCTTGCTCTCAGTGAGGGATCCACCAGCAGCCCCCTTGTTCTGAAAGGTGCTATTCGTTGTAAGGGCAGAAGAATTGCTCAACACTGAAACACAGTGATCACTGGCACCGGCTGTCTACAACTCCAGGTTTTCGACCATTCATACGCCTACTTGTAGATATATGCCAAACAGACACTAAAGGAAGTCATGGAGTGTGCAAACACAAACAGAGCAAGATTTATGAACGTATACCTTAGAAACACATCAAGATTCACTGAGGATGGCAATATATGTGTGACAGTTGAGTTGTGAGTTGAGTTGTGAAGACCAGGACTTTAACAGGGTTCAAAAAAGAACTAGATACATTCATGGAGGTTAGGTCTATCAATACTTATGAACCAGGGTGGGTAGGAATGGTGTCCTTAGCCTCTGTTTGTCAGAGACTGGAAATGGGTAACAGGAGAGGGATCACTTGATGATTCCCTGTTCTGTTCACTCCCTCTGGGGCATCTGGCATTGGCCACTGTCGGCAGACAGGACACTGGACTAGATGGACCTTTGGTCTGACCCAGTCTGGCCGTTCTTATGAGTAGCACATGGAGGCACATTATAGCGAGGTACAACCAACTTGAACCATGAATGTAGATGACACAGCTCCTCAAGTCAAACTATCATCTATCATGTAAATTGGGCAAATAGTCAAACTGATAACACACACAGTAATCATGAGCAGATGTGTAAAGCATCTGAAACTCGACTGATACATTCCTGGATTTGCTGCCTGAATTTCAATTTTCTTGTAGTTAACAGATCTCACAGATTGGTGCTGGAGATTAGAAGTATTTTGCAAACAGTCGATATCTCCTTATTATGCTACTCCACAACAATAATCCTATGCTAGAGCTGAACATCTAGAATTTCATCAACTAAAGAATACTTGCCAAAGGTGAACTGGCTCGGAAAGTCATAGGCATCAGTGGTCTGACCTTGCGAACACATAGATGCTTAACTTTACTCGTGTACTAAATGAATATACACAGTAAAATTATATATGTGCTTACATTTTTGGAGGACTAGGCCCATGTGGGATTTTCACACTAGTTATTCGATGCTGCTAGTGGTAGGAAAAGGGACCTATGTATGAGTTCTTTGAACCACTATGGCAAATCCATGTTCCTTTCTCTGATAGGAGGCTTGACAATTCCTTTCAAACTCTATACATTATATAGGAAGCATGACCTCAGAGTTTGTAAGTGTTGAGATGTAGACACAAAGTTAGGACACAAATTAAAGTGGAGTTTAAAAGTATTCTGAGTGATTCGGTGATCCTTACTTACCCGAGTAGACCTTCCTCTGTGAGTAGTTGTAATGAGGTGGAGTAGCCTTCAATTGAGTTAGAGGGGGAAGGGCCAGTCTGTGAGCCCTGGTAGGCGGAGCCAGGCCTCTGCCCTGATCGCAAGTAAGAGACCCCAACTGACTACCATTTTTCCTGGACTCTCAGCTAGAGCCACAGACTGTGTGTTGCTTTGCTAATTCCCTAACTAGGGGTTACACCCAGGGTACGTCTAGACTACAGGCTTTTGTTGACAGAGATACTGTCGATAAAGCCTCTGTCGACAAAGAGAGTCTAGATTACAGCCAGTTCTGTCGACAAAGAAAGCCACTTTGTTGACAAAGAGTCTAGACACTCTCTTTTGAAAAAGCACAGTGTAGATGCAATAGCGCCTTTTGTCGACAGGACTCCGTCGACAAAAGGCGTTATTCCTCGTAGAATGAGGTTTACCGCCATCGACAAAACTGTCTTACTGTCAACCGAACATGGTGGTAGTCTAGACGCAGATATAGTTTTGTCAACAAAAGTCCACTTTTGTTCATAAAGCCCTGTAGTCTAGATACACCTGCAGTGATGTCGTTAGGGTTGCCAGATGGTTTAACATAAAATACGGAACCCCTTCCATCCTCCCCCCCAAAAAATGCTGGGGAAAAATTCTGTTGGGAAAAAAAAGGGGGGAAACCATAGTTATTAAGCAAAAAAAAAAAAAAGAATAGAATAGGTGCTGTGCCTTTAAATGGCCCCGCGCTCCTCACTCCCCTGCCCCCGCAAAATGCAGCAGGAGAAAATTGTCCCCGATGGGCTTCCATCAGAGGGAAACAGGAAATAGCGGACATTTCACATGTACGGTATTTTCTAGGTTTTTTTACTGGATGGGAGACCCAAATACCGAAGTGTCCAGGCAAAAACCAGACACTTGGCAACCCTAGATGTAGTGAAGCAACGTGGCCTCCATTGACCTAAGAAAGGGAACCACTGCTAAACCACAAAGTAGCCCAATTTGTGAGCATTATTCTGAGTAGCACTTTACTTCAGACTCAGGCCCTCTGAGGCAAATGCAATTTCTACAGTGCAAGTATTTTCTTTCATCTCACCGGCACTCAATGAACCACTGGCGGATCTGCTCCTGCAGACTTTCCTTGATGTCAGGACCTTCCATTTCTCTCAGATGGGTCTTCATGGATACCAGAGCTTTCTGGTACGCGGTCTCATGCTTTCCCTGGATCTCACACCGCTTGGCTTCCACATTCTGGGCACGTGCTACTGAAGCATTAACCCTTTGGAACTGAGGAGGTAGGTTCTGAAAATGAAAAGGGAGAGGGATGTTCAAAAGAAAAGGTCCAAATTAAAGAAACTCAGAGTATTTTGGAATGCTGGGTTGATACTCTGGTTCTTTAAGCCTTGTTGTATGTGTGAAAATTTTTTAAAAGGAGGAACCCGCCCCCGCCCATAAAAAATGCCTGGATGCACACAATGGTCTATTGTTAGTGTTTCAACCTTAATTAACAAAATTGCTATGGACAAAAACAATCCTTCCAGCGTGGGATTCTGGGATCTCAATGAGACAGGTGAGGAGACCGCTGTGCAGCCAATGCCAACTTTATCCATGTCAGAAGGGTGCCAGAGGTTTTTCTAATTGAATTCTCAAATGTTTGGATTTCCCGGTGGCTCTTTTTAATTAGACAGCATTGTTTTTAATTTGTTCAGTTATAATTTTTTATATGCGCTGTTTGGCCAGTTGTTTCCTGGTATTCTGTGGCAGCTGGTAAAACTCCTTTCGGAAATGCACTTCCCTTGAGTAAAACATCAAATAAATAAAAATCCAAACACTGTAAATAAAAAAGGAGCTCCCCAAATTTCCCATGATTAGATAATCCTGTCTAGAAGTCTAAGTGCTTAGAAGTCAGAATAAAGTATTACAAAAATAAATAAATAAGCTTGGTACTTGTTGGGGATATAAGCTGATTGATTTTATGTATGTCTTTTAGAATAGATACAAATGAAAATCTTTCATTTGTGCAATCAAAGTAGTATGAAAAACATCAGCTGTGGGGTTGAGATAGAACTTTACTAGGCTGTATTTTCCATTTTGTGATCATTTATAAATGTAAAATATGTTTTGACTTTGTCATTTTCCAACTCAGAGGGTAAAAAATATAGATTTAAAACTGATGCATGGATTTAGTTAAACTGATCTTAATCTAAAAAAATTCTTAGTTTATCACATATTTTGAAGTATTTAGCACAATGTATACCAAGGCTGAAGAGAAGAATAAATGGAAAATGGATGGGGTGGGTTGGAAAAGAAGGGTAGGTCATTTCTAGGGATGCAAGCTATTGTATTTTCCTAAAATAAGGTAACTGCCTCACGCAGAGTGATAGAACATATAGACAACCAGGAAGGGGTGGGGCTTCACGTGGAAGGGGCAGAGCTAAGGACAACCAGTCCTCAGCAGACTGCACTGGATGGAACGCAGGCACTGCTGCTACCAAATCACTAAGGGTATGTCTACACTACCCCGCTAGTTCGAACTATCTAGCCCGTGCCGCGTGTAGCCGCGCGGCACGGGGTTCGAACAAGCCGGCATTTAAAAATGGCGCCGGCCGGCTTATGCAAATGAAGCCCGGGAAATTCAAATCCCGGGCTTCATTTGCAAGTGCTGTATGCCTACATTACCCCGCTAGTTCGAACTAGGGTGGTAGTGTAGACATACCCTCAGATTTTAGGGTCAGAAGGGACTATTGCGATCATATAATCTGATTTCTGTCATAGGTCACGGACCCTCATCCACTAACTCCTGCAATAGGTTCATAAGCTCTGGCTGAATTACTGATGTCCTCAAATCACGATTTAAAAGCGTAAGTCACAGAGAATCCCCCATTTACTCTAGTTCAAACCAGAAGGTAACCCATATCCCACGCTCCAGAGGAAAACCTCACAGGGTCTCTCTCAATGTAACCTGAAAAGAATGGGAGTCTTACAGGGGCTTTTGGATTAGGCTCAACATTCTGTTTGCTCTACCATTCTATAACACTTTACTGAAAGTCCCAGTCTCAGAGACTATTTACAAGAAAAGAAAAGAAAAGAAAAGAAAAGAAAAGAAAAGAAAAGAAAAGAAAAGAAAAGAAAAGAAAAGAGGGAGGCCTGTAGCAAACAACTGGCCAGATTCTGTTTAGTTTTGTTCAATGAATACTAATCAATGTCAGACAGAAAATATACCCAACAATTACCAAGTAAACATCAGTTTCAGAATATATAAAATGGGTATGATGCTATATTAGAGGTGTGGTCATCTTAGGCCCTGATTCAGGATAGCAGTTAACTATTTTCTCTGCATCTGGACCATATTCAGGTGACGTACCACAAAATGATTCATAAATGAAATAGACAAAACCAGGCAATGAGCAAATACCGACAAGAAAACCAGAACAGCAGTGTGTTTTTGGGGTGCAGCTCTATATATTCAGTACCTGACAGTGTCACTAGAAGATATAACCTTGGGTTAATTCTCAGTGTTCCCATAGAAGTCAAAACCTTCCCTTCTACATTCAGCAAGCCTCATAAAATCTTTGCAATAAATAAAAATACCAATATTATTTAGACTAGTATCTTTTTACATATGTAAGAAATATAAGCTGGTTCCTGTTCTTCAAGAAAATGAGTTGCAATTTACAAATCATGTAATGCGTATTTGGCTTTTTGTACAACATTACATACTTACCATAGA